CTATTTTTAAGCTAAAATTGTTACACAAACTCTACAGCTTAAGGGATAGGGATGTGTGGGTTGTATAGAGTGCATAGGCCTTGTAAATACATATGCATAGATTACAGATTGCATATAGGCCACAGTACTCCTATATGAGGTAATTGTAATACACAAATAAAAGAGTAATTGTTATGTACTAGAAAAATAGTCATATGCTATAAACTAACTACTATAATACTATGATACTATAATTTTTATTACAATGTTATATTATTAAAAGTGGATAAAATTAATAGATTATATTTAAATTTTGCATAACCAAATAAATAAAATAATTTTTTTTTGAGAAGAATTTTTTTTGAGAAAAAAATTGTTATATTTGATAATTAGTTAAGTTAATTATTGTAGCTCTAATAAAAAGTAAATAAAAATTTTAAAAAGTTTATATTAAAGCTAATGTAACTTCTATATATATTGGTTGGGGTTTTGTTAAAAGTCGCCCCAATAGAGTTAATATTTATCTTAGTAATTATATAATTGTCAAATGTTACAATATATAAAAATCAAGAGAAAAGCTACTAACACAGCAACACATGACTTATCGCCTTATCAACAAGCTTATAAAATTTACAACTTTGAGCGAAGATAACTCAACAACCACATATCAAAATTCAATAAACTTTTTTTTATTTTGAATCTACAGAATTTGTAGAATAAAAAAAAAAAAAAACATTGAATTTGGTTAGATGGATAATAAGTTATTTTATTTAAAGTCTTGGAAAATTTAAAACACATATCAAAATAAGATACAAAAATTTTTTACAAAACTTTAAAAACAATTTCATACAGACAACTTTTTCTGATAATTACTCGACACCAAAAATAGCAGAAAGACAAAAGCTTTTATTACAATAAAATTATAGCAATACACACTACAACAAACACAGCAGTATACAAAAAAAGACTACAAAAAGTATCTAACTAGCAACAAGCCAATAGCAGTCAACTAAACAAGTAGAAAGAGAAAAAAACATAGTATAAGATTAACCACTATATGTCAATACTTAAGCAAGACAATATCTAGCTGAATACAAACAGCAATACATAGTCATAAGAAGAAATAAGAGTTGGCAAAGCTTTAAAACACAACAATATTAAAGTATAAAAAGAGTAGCTTAAGGCTTTATTTTGTTATAGCGAAAAACTTCTCTAATATCGACAACAGTAGGGAAATAGTGCTAACCCTGTATTGCAGATTTCTGGTGTAATGCAACTGCAGTATGCAAAGCCACACATTTATATACAAGTTAAGACATAGATATAATATATAAAATTACGTGAAAAACACATAAAAACACATATATTTGAACACCAAGCACAGTATTAAGATATCATATTTAAAACACTTTAAGCAACCAAGTGCAACATAAATCACATAAAGCAAAAGTGTAAGAGATAACAGAGTTAAAAAAATACAAGAACTTCTTTAAGAAAACAGAAGAAAAGAAACTAGTATTATATAGTAGGCTGCATGCAATAATATTAAAAGAGGACAAACACATCGCAAAGTATCTAAACACAGAGAACACTCATCTAATAGCAACTATATGCAATGTGTTATATTTATATAACTGGGCCTGATACAAAGAAACCAAAGAGCAAGAAATTTTCTTTGAAGAAAAAAACCTTCTTGGATACAGTACTACTCTAGAAAATTTATAGAAGTTGGATACCAGTAAAGACTCTAAGACAATCCCAATAGTGGCTAGCTTTATGGACCACAATGAACCTGTATTAGCTAAAGACCAAGGTATCACATATAAACGAAATTTTTTAGAGCATGAGATTAATAAACATATAGCCGAAAGCAATTTTGAGATTAAAATAAATGCTTTAGTTGAAAGTGAGTGTAGCACTATAAACTATAGACTTAAAGAAAAAATTGCTAAAGGGGTATTTAACAGTAAAGAGCTAGAAGCCAGGAAGTACAATAAAAGATCTAAAAGCTATAAGGATATATATAACTTAGCCTGAGTACCAAAAGAGAAATTCAGCACCAAAAAGAATACAATTAAGTTACAATATTTGTTTATACTATAGAACATCCCAAAAGAAATAAGCAGGAATGAAATCAAGAACTATCTAAAATTTTTTGGCTTAGCAACAATTATGGTCTAGCAATATAGCTTCTCTATAAAAGCAGCATATATTAAAATAGTATGCAATATAGAAAGCCAAGAGAGTGCATTAAGAGAAAGCTAGTCAGTTCAGTTAAGTCAGAATAAAACATATAGAACAATGCCAGGCAAATTTAACTATACTGAGCTTGAAGAAAGAAACAGATTTAAAAGCATAATTTATAATATCCCAAGAACTGTATATAATATGATAGTCTACTTCTATGCCAACTAAAAAAGTACAAGGTACAGGCAGTCCATACTCTAGAGAATAGCATGGTAATTGCAACAAAAGGGCATATATATACTTTAAATCAAGAGAAAATATGATACAAGCCCAAGACACAGACCTGTACTATTTTTATACTAAACTAGAATAGCGAATCCTAGCAAAGGAAGAAGCTATACAAGCAATCAACTCTACAAAAAAAACTCAACTACAAAATCTACTAGCCACAAAAAGAAAAAAGAAAGAGAAGAATTAGAAGGGCCTAGTATCACAGAAGCCAAAAAAAAAAAGAGAAGATTTAGGCCTATTAGGTGAGGAAGAAAGAGAGCCCAAAGTTAATAGGTTTTTTGTACAAAGAATTAGTGGAAATATAGCAAAATTAGCAGAGCACAGTAGCCAATCAGTAAAGAAAGATCACGAAAAAGAAAACCAGCCACCCAAAAGCCAAAAGAAAACAAAACCTACAGATAATTTAGATCTTAAAAGCAACAATTCAATTTACAATATGCTGTTAAAAATTTTAGACAGACTCAACAAGCTCGAAAACCAAAAGAGGCTTTTGGCAAGAGGCACTTTAGCTTATTGCTCCTAAGAGTACTAAAGGCATATTAAATGATCACTCTGAACCTCAAAAGGATAAAGAAAGGGAGCCACTAGAAGAAGGTCCAGAGAGAAGACTTCCTGAAGTAATAGAGAAAAAAGTTGCAACATATGAACAATTCAGGATATTAAATATTAAGTTCATAATATTAATAGGATAAAAAACAACAAAACAAGCTAAGAGCAGTAATAAATTTTGCAGAAGAGAAGAAAATAGATATTTTGGGTTTAGGAGAGACCAACATTAATAATATAGAAGGCACTTTCACAATAAAAGATACAAAGATATATAAAAGTTTTTAGGCAAGCTCGGAAAAGAGTAAGAAAAAAGGATCAGGCCTAGAGGTGCTGATCAAGAAATATTGGAAACAACATATTATACATATGTCACAGGACAACCCATATTTTGTAAAGCTCAGTCTAGACTTTAAAGGCCTGGTAATAATTATAATCCTTCTGTACATTATTCCAAATGACAAAACAAGACAAAAAGAGATTTTGCACATACTTAGAGATACTTTAGAAAGACTCAACAGAAAGCCACAGTGTTTTATAATTCTGGGAGATTTTAATATTATTATACCAAATCTAGCAGATAGCAATATGGAAAGTACAAGTTCTAAGTTCAAGATAAAACAACAAATTATAGCATTCTAAAAGAAAAGAATATATACGATATACAAGTTTTAGCCCGCACTCCAACCTGGTCAAACAGAAAAGCAAAAACCAGAATTGACTATATATGGGTATCAGATAAATAGAAAAGTAGTATAATTAATACCAAGGTTGATGATATGGATCTCTGTACTATGAGTAATCACAAATTGATAAGAGCAAGTATTGCTACAAAACTTGAAATAAGGAAAACAGAAGCAGCTAAAAGAAGGCGAGAAAACAAAAAAAGAGTCAATCTAGATTTAAGTAAAGCCTCTAAAGAGGACTGGATCCAGTATAGAAAAAGCCTCAAAAAAAAAATAAAGACTGCTAGAACAAGTACAAACCTAAGAATATGGATAAGGAATGAGATATAATTGAAGAATACATCAAAACAGTAGCAAACACAAGTCTTCTAAAAAGGGAAAAATTACCAGAAATCCTAAAAATTAGCAAAGAAAGCAATGAAGTACAAGCACTAAGACTGGCAGTAAAAGCATGTAACAAAGGCTACCGTAAAGTGAAGAAAGAACCACTACAAGATATAGTTAAAGACAACATATTTAGTATATTAGAAAAGGTTAATGCCTTGGTTGGTAATGATATAGAAGATAAAACAGACATACTAAACTCAGAGGGTCTTAAAAACTAGGCAAAAATATTGCACAAAAAGTGACGTAAAAGAATCAGAAGTATTGAAAAAGCAGAAATTAGAAAAAGTATAGAGAGGCACAGTATAATTATCACCAACCAACAGAAAATGCTCAATAGCCTTCTAGACTAACCTTACAGAAAAATCAAAATAGACAGAGTAGTTAAGAAGACAGAAGAAGAAACAGAACTAATTTATGAGCCAAAAAACATATTAAAAGAGGTCAAAGAACATTTCAAAAAGCAATTTTGTACAAGAAATACAGTACAGATAGAGGCTATGCTAGTAAGATAAAAAAACCAGTACACTCCTCGAAAAGATATCGATAAGTCTTGATATAAAGATACTACAAACAAAATTAGTCCAGCTGAATAGAAGCAGGATCTGGAGCAGGTCAAAACCAAGTCAGCTCCAAGAAGAACAGGTATCACATACCCACTAATAAGAAATACAAGCTCTTCTACAAAAAGGTTTTTTCTTGATTTTGCTTTCAGATAGTGCTCTTCATTGAGCTGGCTCAAATAGGCTCAGAGAAATTTTGGTCCAGCTTGTTTTGGGCTTGAAAGGCTTGCAAGCCTTAGTGCAAATTATATGACTATTTATCATATAACTTTCACATGACTTTCATGTGATTTTTCATCAAATCATAATATTTCATCATGTGAAAATTACATAAAAGTTAAGTAATAAATATCACGTAATCTGTACTAAGGCTTGCGAGCCTTTTAAGCCAAAAACAAGCCAGACCAAAATTTCTATAAGCCTATTTAAGCTAGCTCAATGAAGAGTACTACTTCCAGGTATTTAGAAAAAGATATTATACCAAAAAAGTGGAAGCTAGATATTTTGTACCCAATACCCAGAATGAAAAACTGGTGTTACAATCTAAACAATGTGTAGCCAATCTTATTGTTGGAATTATTCTGAAAAACAGTAGTAAGAGTAATCACAAATAGGCTAACAAAAATTCTTAGCAAAAAAGAAGTATTAAAAGGCAGGAATTTTATGAGCCTTTCAGGAGAAGGCACAATAGCGCCAATGCATCTTATCAACTGCTTAGTAAAGGAAGTGAAAAAAAAAAGAAGAAAATATAGCTCTTATTCCAGGACATGAAGAAGGCATTCGACTCTGTAGAGCTAAAAATGCTTACAATTGTACTACAAAGAATTAAAATCTCAGAGCTACTAACATATTTCATCATAAACCTCTTTGATAACCATGAAATGGAAGTCCTAACAAGCCTAAAAACCACCTAAAGATTTGTAGCAAGGAATGAGATTGATTAAGAAAAAGTAATCTCCCCTTTTGTATAGAGGATATTCTATAACTCCCTGCTAACAGAAATTCAAAAAAACAAAAGATGTAGTTATGAACTCAAGGTGAACTGGCCAAGCGATCTGAGTAGAAATCACATATAGTGACAAAGCTTAAGAATCCCAGTAATTGCGTACACTAATGACATAACCTTTGTAGCATTTAGCAAGGAAGAACTGGAAGAAATAATTAGCATAGCACAAGAGTTTTATAGAATAAATGATATTGAAATCAATAGCAAAAAATCAGAGCTGCTTATAATAAATAGGTAAAAAATAAAAGAGACTAGATATATAGAATTTGGCATGCTGAAAGCAAAAGTATTCAAAAAGAAGACAAGCGAGCTAATGAGATTTCTTAGTATTTGGCTATCCAAAAAACATAGTCAGTTATATATTAAAAGTATTGCAAAGAAAGAAATACAAGCAATTAGTACAGCAATATATAAGAAAAACACCTCGTTAGCACAACTTGTCTATATCAACAATAGAGTACTTATTTTAAGATTGGAGTACAACATTGTATAATTCTAAGAAAGCAATGCAACAAACTTCAAAGCCCTATTTTAAAACTAGTTAAAAATAAGTCTGGCTTAGCTAGCATTATGGCAAATACAATCTTGGCATATAAAAATATAGTCGGCCTTAAAACAATCTGGCAGAATCAGATGGCCCATCATATCACAGAGCTAAGAAAATGTATAAATAAAAACAATGAAATTGGCAAAGCTACGTGGATCAGAATTTAACAAGCTTAGTTAAATTGTAAAAGCACTCAGTATATAACAAGCCTAGACTCAGCAAGACTAAAGAAGATTAAGCTCAAACATAACTTTGCATATAAAATTCTAAGTGAAGCAAAAAACATAAATATAAGCACAAGACCTAGAGAAAAAGAGGAAAGTTTAAGGCTTATAGAAGCTGAATTAGAAATCATAAATTTTCTAGATAAGAAAACAATCAAAGACTTTCTACAAGAAAAAGAAACAGATATTCTGGTAATAAAGCAGACACTAGATAGTATAGAGCAAAAAATGCCACTTAAGGCCAAATCAAGAAATACAAGAAGCAAAAAGCAAGAGAAAAAACTTCATCATAGGTTAAAAAGCTAGAGAAAAAGATAATTAAAACCCAATTAGCAAAAAAATTAGAGTGAAGCTTAGAACCAAGATGCCCAATTGCCTGTCCCCCAAAATAGAGTTATCACCAATAAGTAATAATAAAAAAAAAAAAAGAATGGGTATTCCTCAAAGCTGAAAGCAAGACAGTAATAGGGAAAATTGCAAAGAAAAAGAAAAAGAAAACCATCTTAGTAGAATACTAGAAACATATAAAAAATCTGCAAGAAATAATAGTCAAATTGGTTAAATGTAGAGGTTGTGAATTTGGCTCAACGAAGCACCCAGGAGATGAAATATTTTGTATGAGAAGATTAAAGAAAAACAAAATACAGAAAATTCCCCAAAGATAGTACAAAAAGTATCTACTCAAAACCAGTTATAGGAATTAGTCACTTCACTTAGTAGTATTATAGATACATCATAGCAATTTGAGGAAAACCTAAATACAACAAAGAGCATATAAGAATCTTTAGTTGAGAATATACCATATATTCCCGAAAATAAGCTACCCTTTTTGGGCTAAAAATTACATGAAAATTCCCGAAGTAGCCTATTTTCAGGTACAATTTCGAAAAGTTGAAATTTTATTATTTTTTAAAATTCAAAAGTAGTTTCTATATATAAAAGTCAAAATTCTACTAAGTAAATCACTTAATAAGAGTTGTTCAGGATGTAAAAATCCACATATCCTGAAAGTTTGAAGCAAATTGGAGAATTTTTTACTAAAATATTTTTGCATTTTATATTTGAATATAAAATGAAAAAATATCTTAGTAAAAAGTTCTCTGATTTGCTTCAAACTTTTAGAATATGTGTATTTTTACATCTTGAACAACTTTTATTAAGTGACTTTTATCGATTTACTTAGTAGAATTTTGACTGATATATATAGAAACTACTTCTGGATTTTAAAAAATTATCAAGATAGCTTATTTTTGGAATAAAAAAGTTTTTTATATTCCCTTTTCAAGAAAAGAGGGGGTAGCTTATTTTCAGAGTAGCTTATTTTCAGGAATATATAGTACCTATTTATCTACTTGAAGAAAAAATTATAAATCAAGCTTTAGAAGACAAGCAAACCATAAATGAGATTAAAGAAGTAGTATCTCAGTTAAGAGAGAGAAGACAAATCACATTCTATATAGATGGCTCATTGCTAAACCTAGTAAAAGAATCAGAGAAAAGAAAAATGGGTCTGGGTTGGGTTGCTATTTCAGCATGCTGATCCAAAGCATATAAGAATATAATAGCCAGATTTCAGAGTGCAATTAAGGACTAGCTTTTGTTTACAAGAGCTGAGTTAGATACAATATAGACAGCTCTTTTAGCAGCTCCTTACAAGTCAGCAGCCAAGATACTAACTAATAGTGCAGTTACAATACAGGCAATTCAAGCAAGACTAAGTCCAAAAAGATCATATAATGTGGTCAAAAGGAAAAACCAGTGTCTCTTAGAGCAAATACAGTACATAGTTAAGTTAAAAGAGCTGCAGATTAGATTAAAAAAGGTTAAAGCATATAGTGGAATTAAAGAAAATGATGAAGCAGATACTCTCACAAAAGAAAGTGCTATATATTCTATACCTATCTCCTCAAAATAGCCATAGAACAAACAAGCAATATCTGAACTTAAGTAGAAAAGCCTAAGAGTAGATGATGCAACAAGAAGCTTCAATACACAATTAACTGCAGTTAGTATTGACACAGAGTAGAAAAACCTAAAGAGTATAAACAAGTAGGTAGAAATGAAGCAAGACATAAACGCAATCGATTGGAAAGAGGTTTGGAGCAACATAGATCAATTTAAAGATAGCAACTATAGAAGCTCCGAAGTAAACAAGAAATAGGTGTTCAAGATCAAATGTCTAAACAATCTTCTTTCAAAAATGCAAACTCTACACCAAAGAAAAGTAGATATCTACCCAGATAACAAATGCAAGATATGTGGGGAGTAAAAACCGAAACACAAAATCACTTAGCAGAATGCTCAGAATTACGACTATGAAGTATTATCGAAGCAGAGGAAACTATTCTATTTAAAGAAAAGACCAAGAAAGAAAAAGCAAATCTAAAAATCTCAGACATCAAAGAAATAGAAAATATGATTTTTGGGAGTGACTTATAGGAAAGACTAGTAGCAAGAAGAGAACTAATAAAAGGTCTAATTACGAAGCAAAAAATAGATAAGATAAGCTCAGTCTTTTGGGATTCAATATTGGTTAGCAAGTTTAGCCAAGCAATACTTAACCATATTAGAGACCGCTTTCACAAGCATATTTGGTATTTCCGCTGTGACCTAGTAGCTGAATGGGAAGAAAGACATGGTATCGCAAAGATAGAAAAGAGGATCAAAAAAAAAGAAAGAAAGAAGATGTGACAAACGAGGCAGACAAAGAAAATAGCAACTCACAAAGCTTAAAACCTATTATGAAAAGAAACAATGAAGCTAAAAATAAGTCAAAGGAGGGTAAATATGAGATATTAAAGGAAGAGGAAAAAATAGTTGAAGAGTAGATCATATAAGGGAATAAACCAGCATGGTTTTTGCTGGCCAAAGTTCATCCAAATATTAAGCATTACTGACATGATATACAATAACCAATTGATAATTGAAGAGGTATTTTTAATTAATATGAAATTCTTAGTAAGTTAGGAATTCTGAGAGAAACAAACAGTTGTTATAGCTTAGAATAGAGTGATATACTATTTTAATGTAGTACTTTGTATAATAGTTATATAGTAGTTCAAAAAATAAATAAAGGCAGAACTGCTTAATATAAAAAAAAAACCAAACTTTAAAAAAAAATAACTCAGCAAGTATGTAATCAAATTCAATGTATATTTTTTTATTTTTATCTACAATTTTGTAGAATCAAAATTAAAAATTTTATTAAATTTAGTTAAGTAGTTACCGAGTTATTTTCACTCAAATTTTTACAAAAACTTCAGCACAGCTATTATTTGATAGTTATTTTAAAATTTTTGAGCAAAAATAATTTAGCAACCATTTGGTCAAATTAGACGAATTTTTTTATTTTTATTCTACAATTCTGTATAATCAAGAAAAAAAAATTTTTAAATTTAATTGGGTAGTTACTGAAATATCTTTACTCAAAGTTTTACAAAAATTTCACTGCAGCTATTATTTTGATTTTTAGAAAACTTTAAGTGAAAATAACTTGATAACCACTAAACAAAATTTGATGTTTTTTTTTTTTTTGATTCTACAGAATTGTAGAAAAAAATATAGAATTTGATTAGATATTTGCCAAGTTATTTTTGTTTAAAGTTTTACAAAAAAATCTTATTTTAATAGGTGTTTAAATTTTTCAAGACTTTGAATAAAGATAACTTGTTACTCATCTAACCAAATCTGATATTTTTTTCTTTTTATTCTACAAATTCTGTAGATTCAAAATAAAAAAAAGTCTATTAAATTTTGATATGTGGTTGTCGAGTTATCTTTGCCCAAAGTTGTAAAAATTTATAAGCCTAAAATTTGGGATGCTTATGTTGATCATTGCTGTGTCAATAAGATGATAAGTTACTTGTTGCTATATTGGTAGGATTGTTGATTTTTATATATTTTACTACATGACAATTAGCATCACATAATTACTATCTATATACAGTTTAATATGTTATTTGATTTTAATATTGGCTGCTATCAATAAAAATCAGCTTCGATTTTTAACACTGCCTATCTTGTTTAGAGCATCAAAAATGCATTGAGTATAACCAACTACCCCAACAACACCACCAAAAATTTTCGGTAACATGACTTTTGTACTACATAACAATCATTATTTGATTTTATAATATTATGTATGTTTGATGTATGTATATACATACGTACATACTAAAAATACTTTGTATTACATAAAAATATTACATACTGAAACCTTCTATTTACCAGATATTATTCTAACTGTAATATTATTATTGGTTATCTGAGTTTAAATTTTTTAGATTCATTATATTTATAAAGAAAAAAAAATTAAAATAAAACTTATCTTCGTAAATCCTTATATAATGATATATTGATTTTTCTAATAAAAACTCATTATAAGTTTTTTTTACAAATGGCTACAGTTTCTAGTAGTTTTAAATATTGCTCTCGATGTGATAAATATTTAGAAAATATTGCTTTTGTTAATCAAACTGAAAACTCTATAAAAGTATGTTACGAATATCAACAAACAAACTTAAAAGCTTATTACTCTACTAAAGATAATGACGATGATTATATTAATCAAAATCCAGTTGACTCTAAAGAAATGAAAGACAAATTATTTGAATATATTTTTAATATTGGAAATAATGAATTTGTAGAAAATGATAATTTAGATATAAATTTTTCATGTAACGTATCAACTACCTTAATAAAAAGTGAGCTACATAAACTTGGAAAAAAATTTTCTAAAATAGTAGGATCAGCTGATGGATATTATTATATGTAAGAATTTACTTTAATAATATATATATATAGTAATAATCGAATAAATTACTAATTATATTTAACATATATTATATGTATATTATTATTTTAGCTATTATAAAGTGTATAAGTCTAAAAAAGAATAAAGTAAATATATATTCTGGTACAATTGTTCACAAAGTCGCACTTTAGCAAAATTGCCTCGAAAGCATATAGATTCAAATAAACAACATGATAAAGGATATATTGAACGATTTTCTTGTAATGGTACTTTAAAAATAATTTTTAACATGGAAACAAATGTGGCAACTATTAATCTTTAACATGATTTACTTCACAAATGACCAGATCATTTTAATGTATCTGACGAAATTAAAACTGTAATAAAAAAAAACATATATTTTATGCCATCAGATATATTTAGACAACTTGAACAACAAAATCCAAATTTGACTCAAAAACAAGTTCATGCATGGTAGACTTGTTTTTTAAGAGATGAATATATTCGTAATTATAATGATCAAATAATTTCAACCAAAATTCTTGCAGAAGAAAACAATTGTAAAATTGTTTTAATTAATAATCAAAATATATGATACTTAGGTTTTACTACACTATTTTTTGAGATATTAAACAAAAGTAAGGAGATAGTTGTAGATGCTACATATAATATAAATGCTTTAGGATATGAGCTATATTCAGTTATTAGCCAGTATGACGGAGCTGGATTTGCTATTGCATATTTGTTTGTTGATAATGCTAAAAAAAGTGATGGCACACGTACAGATATTTTGATTTTCTTTGTTTAACCTAGAATTAAATAATATTCATTTTTTTTTAATAGACAAAGATTATGCTCAAATATCTGTTGCATTAAAAATTTTGTCGAATGTCAAAATACAGATTTGTTTTTGACACATTAAAAAAGCACTTAAAAGACGTTTTGCAGATAATAACTACCTAAAGATAATCCATTATAGTTCACATACGGCACATCAAATATTTGAATTTATTGATATTGAGTTTTATCCTATATTGCTATCACAAGTAACTTTAAATCAAAAAAAAAATTTTAACTTTTGCCCTAAAGATTTGTGATCAAAAATTATAGATATGATGGAAAAACACATGCATTTGCATCCATTAATTCTGAATACTAGTGAATCTTTTTTAACAGCAAATGAGATTTGGGAACAATCAACTAAGCAAATATATAAATTTTGTGTTAATAACGATTTAAAGCTTCTTTGGACCTATTTATGGAATCATTGATATTGTAAAGAAAGCTGAAGTTTATGGACACACTCTACAATGTATAATAAAATTTGTATATTTTGTACTACTATGCTGTACAAATCTCATTGGAAAGTAATTATTTGCCTAAATTTTTTAGGCCACAACTTGATTTATTAACTTATATTATTGTTACTTGATTAATTCCTCATCAGCAACAACAATATAATAAATATTATTCTAAGCATGAAAAGCCTTCTTGGAGAAAGGATTTTAAGAAAGAGTGGAATTTATTAAAAGAAAAAAAAATCAATAACAACTATATAACTAATACTGAAAAGTGGATTTGCGGATATCTTGGATTTTTAACTAACCAATTTTTTCTCTGCAAGCATTTAATTCAGACATCTCAATTTACAGTTAATAAATCCTTTTTTGAAAATATCCAATATCAAGAAACATATCCATTTATATTTCAATTATTACAACAGCCTCAACAAATATTACAAAATTCATCTACACAATTATTAGATTCAAATAATGGTAAGAATATATATATATATATATTATTGTATATTAATGGATAATAATTTTAATTTATTAGTTGCCAATGTGCTAGAAGATTCGTCCACACAACTATTGAATTCAAATAACAGTAAGAATAAAATTATTATATATTTTAAAAAATAAAATACAATATAATAAATTTTATTTAATTTATTAGTTACAACTACAAGTAATATTATAAACAATGAATTTATGCAAATATTTGAAGATTACAAGTTAATACTTCTTAATGCACTTGAGATTGTAAAAGAACAAGAAAACATTGATAATATTCAATAGGCACATGCAGTTCAAGATAGTTTTAAAGGTATAAAGAATCTAGTAACGGATATTATGTCTTATGAAAGACGAATAACCAATCCACGTACTTGGAAGGATAATAATTGGCATATGATGTTTTTAAACTAATAATAAATAAATGTAAGTATTTAATAAAGTATATTTTTTATTGACTTTGCTTGCTCAAATTTTAATAATTTATAAATATAATTTGCTAAATCATATATCTTAATTCTTATATGATAAGCTAATTTTAGGTTTATATTTTATATGTATTATATACTTTTATATATATATGTATATATACATATATATATATATTTGTATACTTTAAAAATTATATATAGAATAGGTATATACGTATTTGCTTGCTTTAAAAAAAATTAGATAGTATTAATATATATTCTTTGAATAAATATACTATTTGAAATAACTACAGTTTCCATTTATTTGAAGTATAATATGTATGATAATATTTTTTAAAATTTCTACGTATAAGCGATATGCACTAAATAACTATACAATACTGTTAAATACCATATTTTACCACTATATATTTTGTATTAATACGCAAAATTTAAATATTAAATAAAAAAGAACAATTATTACAAATAAGAAATAAATTAAATAGCGTTTATAATTTTAAAATAATGATTATAATCATCAAAAGAATTGTAAAAATATATAGTGAAGAATGCATTAAAACTACTGTAATAATAATATGTGCGGTTGGGTAAAATTATATAAATAATAATTCTAACATATATTGCTATTAAATTAATATTTTTTTTAAACAATAATATATCACTTTTCAAATTAGTTATACGTATTGAAATTAAATAGACACTTTCCAGGTTATAAAAAAGAAAAAATCAAATAAGCTATAAAAAAATAAATCATTTTCAAATAGTAATTCAAAAGCAATACGTACAAATAAAATATTAATATTATAGTTAGATTTATTAATAGCATTTAAATAAAAATAATAGTATTAATATATTGTCTATAGTAATATATAAAATATATATTATAAAATTCAGTTAACATATATGTATAAATGAATTCAACAAACAAAAAAAAATACTATGTTTATTCTTTAAATAGGCCAATGCTATAATTTCATATATATTTAGCAATAAACAATGGTTAAATTCTAAATTTAAAGGTACATACGTACGTATGTATATACAATTTTTTGTGGGTATTAGTATATTGTATAACTGATAAATATCAGATACATATGTATGTACATACGTACATATATATATCTGATATGTACAAATAATGATCATCATGTAGTACAAAAATCACATTACTGAAAATTTTTGGTGGTGTTGTTAGGGTAGTTAGTGTAACCCGGGTTTGTATAAGGAGAGTATATGGGAGGTTAAAAGTAGAAACCACCAAATTTTTTTCTAAATAAATTTTTTTCAAACTTTAAATTAAAATATCTTAACAACCATTAAACCAAACTTGATAAAAATTTTTTTATTTTAATTCTATATAGTTATAGAATTAAAATAAAAAAAAATTTATTAGGTTTGGTTTAAAAGTTGTCAAGATATTTTAATTAAAATTTTTAAAAAAACTTACTAAAAACAAATTCGGTGGTTTCTACTTTTGACCTCTCATATTTTCGTATTATGAATATATATAAAGTAATTAGAAATTTTACTTTGTATTTGCAATGCAGGAATATGCTCTTTTTATACAAACCTGAGTTACACTCAACATACCTTTGACGCTCTAAACAAGGTAAGGCAGCTGTTAAAAATCAAAATCAGATAGATTAATATAGTGAAATCTCTCTAAATGTGGACTTAGAGTATGTGATAAATATGACTTTAGTAACCTATAAAGACTTTACCAACTCATATTTCATATCGTTATTAGATGTTGATTTAACATCACTGTATATAGCAAAAATAAACTTTTTTAAAATTTTAATTACATCAAAAGTAAACTTTTTTAATTACATATCCAGACAACTATTAGACTAAAATTGATTAAATTTTTTTATTTGAATTCTATGAATTCATAGAATTCAAATAAAAAAAATTTTATTGATTTTGATCAGGTGGTTGTGGAGATATCTTTGCTCAAAGTTAGAAAAAAATTAAAACATCTCTAACAGCTAATAACGCCTATCAAAAGAGAAGCTATGGCAAATTTTTTCAAAACTTTGAATGAAGATATTTCTACAATTATCTAACCAAAATCAATATAACTTTTTTTATATGAATTGTATATATTAATAGAATTTAACTAAAAAGTTTTCATCGATTTTAGTCAGGTGGTTGTGGAGATATCTGCATTCAAAGTTTTGAAAAAAATTTGTTATAGTTTCTATTTTAATAAATATTTTGATTTTTCTCTAACTTTGAGTAAAGTTATTTCCACAACCATCTGATCAAAATCATTTTTTTAAATTTGAATTTTATAGATCTATAGAATTCAAATAAAAAAAATTTCATCAATTTTGGTCAGGTGATTATGAAGATATCATTGCTTAAAAAGTTGAAAAAATTTTTTACTTGTACTTGGTTTTGACTTTTCTCAAACTTTCAGCAAAAATTTCTTGACCAAAACTGATGAAATTCTTTTTATTTGAATTTTATAAACATATAAAATTCAAATAAAATTTTTTTTATCGATGTTAGTCAAATGGTTGTGGAGATATCTTTGCTCAAAGTTAGAGAAAAATCAAACTGCCTACCAAAACAAGTACAAAAGGCAAAATTTTTTCAACTTTTTAAGCAATGATATCTTTATAATCACCTAACCAAAATTGATAGATTTTTTTTATTTGAATCCTATTGATCTATAAAATTCAAATTTAAAAAAATTTATCGATTTTAATCAGGTGGTTGTGGAGATATCTTCGCTCAAAGTTAGAAAAAAATCAAAACACCTATTAAAATAGAAACTGTAGCAAATTTTTCAAAACTTTGAGTGAAGATATCTCCACAACCACCTGACCAAAATCAATAAAAACTATTTAGTTAAATTCTATTAATATATACAATTCATATAAAAAAAGTTTCATTGATTTTGGTCAGATAATTGTGGAAATATCTTCATTCAAAGTTTTGAAAAAATTTGCTGCAGCTTCTAGTAATAGGTGTTGGAGATGTTTTGATTTTTTTCTAACTTTGAGTGAAGATATATCCACAACCACTTGATCAAAATCAATAAAATTTTTTTTATTTGAATTCTATGGATTCATAGAATTCAAATAAAAAAAATTTAATCAATTTTAGTCAGATAATTGTCTGGATATCATGATTAAAATTTTAAAATTTTTTACTTTTGCTAGATACAGTAATGTTAAATCAATATATAATATGAAATATAGGTTGGTAATATTGGTCGTCTATAAATGGGCCAAGCAAATAACTGCACTTACAAAATAAAGAATACAAATTTATTTATAAGTCCCATTATGAGTAGCCTTTCATCGTGCATTTAGAGAGATACTGCATTTAGAAACTGCATTTCAGTATTTAGAGGATCTGACTATATTTTAAAATTTCTTGAGTCTATCTTGATGAATTAGATATTACAGTATTATTATTTCAATATTTAATTTTTTTTAAAATGTCAACAGCTTATATTGCTCGAGTATAAAGAATATTATTAATTTAAATATAAATAAGCTTGTCAACTCTATATTTATTTGTATTAAATAGTAAGAAATGACTAATATAGAGGTAGGCTAAAGCAGAGTGAATTTTTGATCACAGGAAGCAGAAAAATGTGATATAGCTTCAAATAACTTTAACCCCAATATTTAATTAAATAAACATTAAATTACTGCCTTAGCCGACCTCTGTCAAAGAAAAACCTACAATCAGATTTTCAAATATATTTTAAAAATCCGATTGTAGGTTTTCCTTTGATAGCAACCAATAAAAATTTGTATTATACTTATTAATGAAAGTTTGTACTACATAACCAATATTATTCATTGTTTGTAATTTAGAAACAGTATAAGAAATTTCTGAAAAGTAAGCAATAAATTAATGTTAGAAAGATATGAAGATGAGGTTTTTTTTTTGAAATTACTCCTTTTATATATATAGTATAAATAATAGAATTTGTAATTCGGTGCGTATTAGCAATTGTTCTAAAATATACAATTGTATTTTTTAATAACAATATATTGTGTATGGTGCAAATCATTTAATCGCATCAAAAATGTATTAAATGTTGCGCCACTAAGCAAATCATTAATTAAAGAAATAATATTAATCAGTGTTGTCACTGAAAGACTAGAACCCCACTGAACATTCAGATTCTTTTAGCATTCCAGTGGTTCCAGTGAGAAATCCCACTGGACTAATTTTCTTACTGGAACATAATCATATGATTGGCTAATCTAAACGGGCTATTGGCTAATCAAATTAGTTAGCAACTAATTAGCTTTTGACTACCATATTTTCCCCAAAATAAGCTACCATTTTTGGGCCAAAAATTACACGAAAATTCCTAAAGTAGCTTATTTTGAGAACAAATTGATTTTTGATTATTTTTTATTAAATAAGAGTAGTTGTTATATATAAAAGTCAAAATAGTACTAAGTAAATATATATTATGAACTTAATAAAAGTTGTTCAAAATTAAAAAATACACATATCCTAAAGGTTTCATACAATTTGGATAACTTTTTATTAGTAATATTTTGCATGTATTGTTTGAACTTTAAATGCAAAATGTTATTAATAAAAGTTATCTAAATTGTATGAAACTTTCATAATATGTGTATTTTTTAATTCTGAACAACTTTTATTAAGGTCAAAATATATATTTACTTAGTACAATTTTGACTTTTATATATATAACAACTGTTAAAAATTTCAGAAAGTAACTTATTTTTGGGTAAAAAAGAATTTCTGGTTTTTTGCTCAAAAGTGAGGGGGTAGCTTATTTTAGGTGGTAGCTTATTTTGGGAAAAATACAGTATTAGTTAATAAAAAATATATTAAATTAATTTTTTAAAA